ATTCATTGCACCGTTTTAAAATATGTCTCTTTTTTTTTTTTTTTAAGTGGATATGGGCAGAGACGAGGAGCGTGGGGGTGTGGCAGCGGCAGGGCTCTTTTCAGGCTGTGGCTTTCAACCAGAAAGGAAAGGAGCTAATCCTTAAATCGGTCAGTTGTTTGAGAAGAAATGACATACCTCTTGATACGTAATTACAGAAAATGTCAAACACATAACATACAACACAGGTGGAAGAACCGACTCATTGTTCAAGACCTGCCTTTTCTCTGAGCTCAACCCTTATTTAAAGTTTGAATTCAAAATGAATCGATTTCTGTGTGATACACACAGAAAGAACAATTCCGAGGAGCCTGGTTTACTATAGCTTTGTGACTGCGCAATATTTAGGGTCCGGGTTGATGTCTCGTGAAAGGTAAGGACGAGGGGATATCATCTGTAATAGTCAAACGTCAACTTGTTTAGCATGTTTAATTAGGATTCTTGGCAACCTTAATACTTCGTTCTGTATATTTACCAAAGGCAACCTTCCCTCTCTGCCTTTGTGAAGGTGTTACATTCAAGTCGGAGGGCTCGTACGAGCGAAACCAGTGGTCGCAATCGAACCTGATTATTCCGAATTACCGTCACTATTCAGGGTATATTTTTTCGTGTAAAACAGAAAAGAGCCAGAAAAGGAAAACCGAGCACCGAATCCGAGCCAGAAACACAGCAGCCCTGCTTGTTTTGAACTCCCCTCACAAAGCCTCTACTACACTCTCTTTTGCCTTTCTCAAATCCAAAATGGTGGGGTATTTCAGTGTATTTGATCTCATTGAGAGAAGCGGCGATGTCCCTCTGTCACCCCGGTAGTCTAGCAACACGGAACAAGCCTAACGGTGCGTTACTTTATCAGTTCTGCTTGCCGGGCTAAATTAAAATGATGATGAAAAAGCCCATCGCTCCAGCCACTGAAGGGACTGGCAGGGAAACGGTCCATTAAACGCAGATCAGGAGCTATTTATAGAACTAAGCGACTACTCGTTAATGTCGCCTGCGGGTACCGGTGAAATCTCTAATAGACACAGGGCTAAACATTCGCACCCTGATTCTTTTCCGGTCCAAATTTCCATGTAACAAAAGGTTTAGTGAATGAGCTTCGACTCGGGCGAGTAGGGCAAGAGGTTTAAAATTATCTTTGCTTTGAAAAAAGGCCCGTTTCTCCCACGAAATAATCCCCCACCCCCCAAAAAAGAGGTAGCTGGGGAAAATGGGAAACAATTTCTATTCATAAGGGGCGCGGGCTAAGCGGAACGATTCTCCCCACCAGAAAATGAAAATTTGACTGTTTGTCTGCGAAAGCGAAGGCGCCACTGAGAAATCCGGAGAAGGAAGACAGCTTGTTATCCGCAAATGAATCTCTTGCTATAACGTTGCGATCTGATTGTGCATTTGTTTCCCTTCCTGCTTTTCATGTGCCTGCGCGCTGACTGGCTGCCAGCGCTATCTTACCAGCACAGCAAGCTGACGAATTGCTATTTAATAAGGCTCTCGTTAATCTTTTTCCCCCAGGAGATCCGTATTTTCTGGTCAGATAAGGTTGAAAAATTTCAGACAGCGAGAAGCGGCCAAACCCCCCGCTCGTTCCTCGCCGCCGGCCTCCCCGGCGGGCCCTGCGTCCCCCCCC